AAAAGATCCCATACGACACTGCCAAACTTTTTGTAACCACTCATGCATGATTATTTTGCACGTCTAGCCGTTCTCGTTTGCACAAATAGTTACGTCATTAGGAAAATCTCCCTTTGGAATAGTCTTTCGTTTAAACATGATCATCAGCTTTAGCTTGTCACCGTTTGCGGCACAAGCTAACACACATGTAAATGACATTCTTTCATGCCCCATCATAAACACAGAAACAGTTTTTGCACCAGTTTCATCAACAGTTCTGTTTGCAGGAGAGTCGAAAGCTAACGGCGTTTCATCCATATTTATAATCTGTGACCAAAGAAGTTTTTTTTTTTTTTTTGTCAATAATAGCTGTCACATATTTTAGAAAAGATGACTTTTTATTCTGCCAGTCCATTGGTAATTGTTGCCCGACTGTTGTTCTAGTATGCACAGAAATATTTTTTCTTTTCATAAATCTGCTACACCTCCTTTGAAATCATTTATGTTCATTCGTTTTGCTATAACTTTTGCTTGTAAGCGAAATTTTACAGTCGAAATTGCCATTCCCTTTCCATGTTGCTTATTGTTCCAGTTTGCAAGGTCGTCCTCTAGATTTGGCCACTTTACAGTACCACTTCTTTTGGCTCGTTTCTGTTGTGGTATATTTTTAAGAAGTTCTTTTTCAGTTCTCCAACGTCGAATACATCTGTTGTCCACTTCAAACTCTCGAGCTGCTGCTCGATTTCCAATTTGTTCAGCACGTGAAATTACATTAAGCTTAAAACTAGCAGTATAGCTTCTGTGCCATTTAGGGACATTTTCAAAAATTTTCCGCTCCCTTCTTACTTAAAAACTATCCAACAAGTACTTGTACCCAAACTGATGGGATCTGTATCTGGCAGAATGCCCAGAAAAATCCATTCATGCTGAAGGGGAAATACGTCAGAGTTCGTTATTGCGAGGCAGGTGGAGTTGTGTCCGCGTTTGAAAAAATTTGCAGAAAAGACAGGGTTGGGGAGAGGATGGGTCCTGGAAGATTCATTGAATGGCAGAGGAGAGAGACTATTCAAACTGATGAGAATGTTGATTTGAAAGGGGGAAGAATGTTATTGTTCTGAGATCTCGTTTAGGGTGAATAAGGCACGTAGGTCTGTTCAGGGGAAAGAATGTAAACAAAATAACGTTCTCAAAAAGTAACTGAGTGGTCTTTTGTGTGGGAACAGCACCAGTCTATGCACAATGACAAGGCCATCCAAACTATGTACAATGACCATCATAGGAAATATTTTATTTTTAGTGCACCTAAACGCCGCATGGGTAGAAACGCCGCACCCCGCTGAAAATTTAAGTTTTAAACACGTAAACGCCACGGCATTTCTTCCGGAAATTACGGTAATTTCTGCATGCCATCTTACCAGATTTAAACTGATGGTCTATAATCTGGAATCGCCGAAGTCCCGACAAGTCCGGATTAAAGACTTTTGACTGTACTTGGATAACAAACACTTGCAAATGTAATAAATAATTTTAATACAAATTTGAATTTTATCTTTGCTGCTTTGACAATTATACAAGCTGTACTTGTATATAAAAGTTTGACAATTATACAAACTTTTGACAGAAACTGGATCTTAGTGACTTCTACATAACACTGCATGACTAGATGAATTAATTTTCAACTGCCAAAAGCATCTGATTTTTCATACAGTTTCTATATTTTGTCTCCATTATATCCTCACATACTTTGCCCAACAATGACATGTTATGCTTGACATCCATAACTTCTGTTCATACACAAATTTGCTATTTCATGAATATGTGTTTTGAGTAGTATCCACAGTATGCATTCTTCTCTTCAAATTAAAATTTAATAAAAAGGTAAAGGCAATAATACTTTTGCAATGCTTGGTACTAAGAAAATATTTTCAGTTCAGCTGACTATTGTGTGACAAGATCTTATTTCAGTTACAAAACAACAGCAATTTGGAGTTTGGAGCAGCATTTACAAATAATGTGCCACAGCAACATTTTTTCACAAACTTTTTACAATAACAAAAATTGTTAAAACATTACAACTTTTACAATCCTTTACATTTATTCTGATATAATCATATAGTTATTATTATCATAGCCGCCACATAGTACCTGCCAAACTTCGGCATTTCTGAAATATACCTAGTAAAAAAATTACCAGCCCTTACTCTAAATGGTTCCCACTGCTCTTCGTGATACTGGAGCAAAGCCAGTTAAACTTTAACCATAAATATGTGATCCTCTGCAGATTCTTTTAGAATATCCCATACCATTTCAGAACATGAATAAGTGTCCTATTCATATTTTTTGTTTTACATCCTTGAAGAATTATGTCTCACTGATAATTACGGCTGGAAGCATAACCTCTATGAAGTTCAATCTTCAAGTTTCTTGAAGGCCACATTCTGTTCAAAGAAGGTCAAAGCATGCCTGTAAAAGTTTTTCCAAATGCAGAAAAAAAAAATTTGTTTTCCCCCCCGATAATGGCTGCGTTACGAAAGGTTAAATGAACAACTAAGCAAACAGCTCAAAACATTCTTTCCAGTGGTAGTTCTTTGCTATTTATGTTAATATGCAATGGCTTAATTAGAAGCCATATGATTTGAATCCCATATTCTTTCAAATGTTAAGTCACAGTTAGAATGGCAGTTACAAAAAGATGGATATATCAGATGAGCAAACAGCTCAAAACATTCTTTCCAGTGGTAGTTCTTTGCTATTTATGTTAATATGCAATGGTTTAATTAGAAGCCATATGATTTGAATCCCATATTCTTTCAAATGTTAAGTCACAGTTAGAATGGCAGTTACAAAAAGATGGATATATCAGATGAGCAAAATTAAGGACTGTTTCCAAATTTGAGCTAAAATTAAGTTCGTTTAATGGAAAAAAAAAAAAAAAAAATCCTCCATTTTTTTTAAGGACATTTTATGGTCTAATGAAACATGATTACCTATATGGATATACAGTCAAAAGTCGTTCATCCAGACTCATCGGGAAGTTCATCGGGGCTTCGGCGATTCCGGATTATAGATAATCAGTTTAAATCTGGTAAGATGGCATGCAGAAGTTATAAAATAAAAAATATGAAACCGTAATTTATGAAATAAAGAACAATTATGATCTAAAGGGTATCAAAATTTACAAAAAAAAAAAAAAAAAAAAAAAAAAAAAAAAAAAAGCTTAATATTTATTTGTTTACTTTTATTAAACATTTCTTTCAATGTAAGTTGTTTAAGTTGCTTCGTTTTTTATGTGATAATACTTTCTCTTTAATTCTATAAACAGACATAATTTCTTGTTCAGTTACAAAGTTCCGCTGTTCAAGTCCTATAATTGCTGTGTCGAGAATACCGACTAATTTGTCAATCAAAATTTTTTCGTTTTCGATAACCTCTGTGTCTCTTTCTTCACTATCGGAAGAGAATTATAATGACGAGGAATTTGGTTTAAATCATATCAAAGACGGAGTACAGAGTACATAGAGATAAAATACTACATTTAGTAAGGAATTACAAGCCAAATAAAATAAAAACATCTGCCCTGAAGATAAGGATAGTGCTGACAGATCAACTTCCAATTCATCGTGCGCCGCAGCTTCCCCCCCCCCCAAGAGCAGCGTGAAATTAATAAACAGATTTCAGAATGGTTTCACACAGATTTCACAACGGATATGCCTTTATCCATTTTTTGCAGCAATTCCACTTTTTGTTTGATGGACATCAAAACATACTTTTGCTTCGTAGAACCTTTGGGAGCTCCTGCATCAGAAATTCTATTTGACATAATCGAAAGTTCAAGCTTACTTTTATAAAATTGCTCTAACAGTCTGCAAAAAATAATAAGCCGGATTCAATTCCAAGATTAAGTAACAACGCAATCTGCAAGATTAACAGAAATAGATAATTAGATAATTTTAGCTTATACCGTCCGTTATATATTAAACGCGCTTGCGTAAACATATTATGCGCAGCCGTAAAGGTCTTACACGCATGCGTCGCTCAGAAAGTTTGTAGCTTTGAGGTCCGGATTATAGATCGTTCTGGATTATGGGTGTCTGAATTAACGACTTTTGACTGTATAACTTATAAGACGTTCGTGGTTTGAGTCCAGGCACGAACATTGCTCATTTTTCAACTCTCCTGCTTAAAAAAAAATACCTAATGTCTCTACAGTGGCGCCCAAACTAAAAAGGGTGGTGGATGATGATTCTCCACCACCAGGGTTTGGAGATTGTCACACTTTAAAAGGGAAAATATATAAGGTATTTCTCCTGCCTTCTTAGGATGCCTTCATGGCCATCCTTCATGGATGCCTTCATGGATGCAATGGCCAGCCCACTCGGCACATATCGAGAGTCTGTGGTTTGAGTCCTGTGAGGGCATTGCTCATTTTTCATCTCTCCTGCTTTTGAAATAACCTAATGTCTCTACAAACTAATTTTACTAAAATGTCTCATCTGTACAGTAGGTAAAAATGTACCATGCTAGATGATTATTTGGTTATCTCTATTAAAATAATATTTTACCTATTATTATCTATTAAAATAATATTTTACATTATCACATCTCTAATATGACAGATACATAACACATATCTCAATCAGAAAACAAAATGCTGCACTCCAAATTATTTAAAATTACATATGAACTTATAAAACTATTAGCAAACGTATTCTTAATAATTCAGGGCAATAAATATTACATTATGAGTAATTTTCTAATTAGAAAACTACAATCAAACATGCTTAAAAGAAATAAAAAATGTTACTGAATTAAAGTTTATAAATAGGCTGTCAATTACCTGCTCCCAAGAATGCAGTGAGATTATAGCTATTAGTTATTGTAACTGCCTCATATGACCTCAGGAAATGCATAATACATCATTTAAATATAACCTTAAAAAGCTGAAAGATTTTTTAAAATAAAAAATAATATATTAAATTTTTAACACTTTTTTAAATACCATAGACTTTTGGCATACTCACCATAAACTTTTGGCAAATCTGCAGCACTGCACATCCTAAGATAAGAAGAAAGTTGCCCTGGTATAGAATGTCTATGTTGAAAACTTTCTGCAATATTAAATGATAAAAATCAATAATACAAATACATTAATGTCATTACATATATTAAGCTTTATTGCACCACAATTATATCCAGTGTTCCATAGTTAGTATCAAAACATTTGAGTGATAATTATACGACATTAATATGATATAAAGATAATTAATGTTAAAGCCCAAAATTATGCAGTGCTATTTCTGCTTAACAAAACACATATCTATTTGTCCACCTAGCAAAAGCATAGAATCTTAAAAGATTTACTAAGATAAGAAGAAAGTTGCCATTATATAAGTAATTTTAAACAGAAATGATTCAAATAGAATAATAAAACTGAAAATAAAGGGAGGGGAAGATTTTTTTCAGAGCTTAATAAATTAAATTAATTTTACAATGAAACTGAGATATATTTACAATGAATTTTTCAATTCAAATTGAAAACACAAGAGATACCTCAAAAAAATTTTTCATTTTAATATTCTCACAAAAAGCTGCTTAAACATTTACTGTATAAAAATACATATATACATACACAAATATTACATATAAATTTTAAAGACTCCATCAAAAAGAGGCAAGGTATTTTGCTAAGTGGAAATGACATGACAGAATTTCTGACTTTTGTATTGCTGAAATGATGCAGTAAGTTGAACAATTGCAAATGAATTTCATGTCAAAGTGATATCAATATGATCTTCCAAATGCTATACCACCAATTATAAGACACTTTTATATTAAAAGTTTAAATAAAAGTAATGAGAACAATTTAAATTATTACACAAAATTCAAAAAGATTTTAAAACAGCAAATAAATTTATAATTATATGATGCTACTTAGGAATATTAAAATTTAATATTTCTCATACTATTTGTAGATTACACATTATGGTTAAAGTCTAATGCATCCCCAAGATAAAATTTTATCAAAGAAGGTGACAACAGACTTTTATAATTACTGGAATATATTCTGAAGCAGTTTCTAATCTGCTGAAAAAGCGTGTTTTTACCAAAATGTCTCATAGGTGTTTAAATAATCCTATAACTATTTGCACACTTTTTAAGAACCTTTATGATCAGTTAATGAAATAAAATGAGAAACGTAACTTCACTTTAAAATATCTGCAAAAATATTTTATGGCATTTTTAAACTACTTCGATTCCTTCCAAAACAAAATATTAAAAAAGCAAGATATTTTAATCTCAAATCTGAACATTAACTCCTAAGATATTGCAAAAATTTTCACTGTATGCATGGAGTTGAAAGATTGGGAATCTTCAAAGGTTTCTATGAGAAAGAATATTTGCATGGCTTGACTTAGTTTTCTTGTACCTTGTTATCCACAAAAAACTTTTAATTGGAGGCTAATTTTAAATTTAACCTGTTGCAATACTTTTTTTGGGGAGGGAGGAGTTATATTTCCTAGAAAGTTATTTTTAAATAGATACATTTTCGAGTAAGTTACCATAAATCTAATTATACGATCAGCAATCTCAGTAATGAGTTTCATATCAAAAGCTACTTCAGAAAAATTAAAGGAACAAATATCTTACTAGATGTTAACCTCAATAACTCTTAAAAATAAAGTGATAGCATGACACATCTCTAATGAAACACAATTTAATGAAATGAAAATCCAGCTACAGAATATACAGATATTCACTAAATATTACAATACACAGCAAAGTTACATGAAAATTTTGATCAAAAAAGTAGAGATCTAATATTTTGCCTCATGGCATCATCCAACAAAGCTACATGGTAATTTTGATTAAAAAGAAAAAAAGTAGAGACCTAACATTTTGTCTCATGGCATCACCCTTGGGTCACAATAATTGGCAGATTGCTATTTGTAATGCTGAGTAAACTCTTGGTAGACAAAAATCCATTTCTTTCTTTTTTTTTTAAAGAATTATTGTTTCAGAAGAACTAATCTCATACTGCCTAATTTTCATACCACATATATACTGCTGAATAATATGCAATGCAATTTTCCTTTCGTGTAATAAACTTTGTAAGTTATTTTCTCCCTCCTTTCCACATGCCTTCGTGGTGTAACTGGAAGCACATCTGACACATAATCAGGAATAATGGACACATAATGGAGTTTAAATCCCAACAAGGGTCTTGCCCTTTTTTTATGTTTCCTGCATTGATATACCCTAATGACTTTTTATTAAAATCATAGAAATATTAGCCCACACATTTTAGTAGTAATGAGAAGCACAATATAATTTACACACACACACATACATGCACAATATACACACATATTAAACTTAGATATAAAAATTCCATTCGTAAAAAAACTTAATAAAAACATGCCTCTTCGTTCTTCGGTGGTCTTATTGCCTACAGATACATCTTCAAGACTCTGAGTATGAGGGCTACCTAAAACCAAATTTAATTCCTTTTAAAATAAAATAAGCATATAATCAAGCAATAAGCACTTCTTGTGCAGTTTCATATTTCAAAAAAGTATAAATTTTCTGTACATATACTAAAAATAAAATATGAAAGCCCCACAAGATATGTTATTATTGCATGTCTTAAGCATTAAATATTATTACCTTTGTTCACATTTGTGGCCTTTTTACTGACACTTTCACTATCAAGACTTCTAGGCCTTGGAGAATCATTATTACTTTTCATTATTATACAAGGCTTATGAGGTACATCTAATGAATAAATAAACAAATAAATAAAAGTCTCATTAATTTAGATTAAAAATAAAAATAATTTAAAAACCTGACTGATTAAAAAATAATAATTTGTTTTCAATAACTCAAAATGCAGTTTTTGAGGTACGGACGGTTTATCTCATTGTAAAACCTTTTTTTTTAGATGAACAGGATGAAGGATTTAACTTTGAATTTCATATTACAATGATTACATTTATGTAGACTAGCCAAAGAGGTTTGAGAATGAATTTATTTTTTAACATGTACACAATATATGGCAACAAAATAAATCTTTGGAAATATCTTGGAAATCATTCATTTCGGGGTGGATTCAACTTTTAGTTTTCTCGACCAATAATAACAGGAAAAATTTCCCTAATCAATAATAGTTATCAAATTAAGTGTATCAGTAATTCAGTAATTTTATATGTTTGCAACAAAATACAATGAAATAACTAAGCATAACAAGTTAATTTATCTTATTTATTAAAGACAATCAAATGAAAGAATACAGTAAATATGCATTTAACCTGTCAGCACATGCGCTGGGGTAAAATTCACCCCAGGTGTAGTCTTTTGTTAGAAAATAAGGGAAGGCCATGTACCTTTCAAGATCAAGGTTAGGAAGGGGTCGTCCAGAGGAATTTTTCCCGTGTCCTTGGGATTTTGTGTTTTTGAGGAATGTGCAATGGGACTGTAGCTACCCTGCACGTGTACTAACGTTTTACTTCTAAGGTGACATTTATTGAGATGAGTGCATACGAGCGAGAACAGACTATGGGTTCTTCTTGCTAGTGTTGAAACTGATAGTGAAATTGAAGATTCTAATTCTGAATGCGATAATATTTCTGAAAGTGCTCACAAAACTGATTCTGACCAGAAATATGATGATTCACATGATTTAGGGACCATATTTCTTTGGTGTCAGATAATTTTTATGTTTGAAAAGATGGAACAATTTGAAGCAAAAAAATTACCCTCGAAAAACGTTCAGACACGGCTGCACAATATAGTGACACATTTATCTGGTGTCAAGAAAAGCTTTAGAAATTTGAAAAATCCAACTGAGTGTTTATTGCAAATTTTTGATGAATAAATAACGGACGATTTTGTGAAATCAATAAAGGTTTACATTTCATAATTAAGAAACAAATTTTCTAGAGACTGTGATGCACAAGAGACAATTGTAGCTGAATTGAAGTTGTTGTTTTTCCTATTATATTGTGCTGGAGTGCTGAGAGCAGCACTTCTCAAAGCAAAGATTTGTGGTCATCTGACGGAAGCGGAATAACTGTTTTTCAAATAACAATGTCTATCAACCGATTCCACTTCTTGTTGAGGTATATTAGGTTTGATGACATAAATTTACGAGCAGAGCGAAAGATGAAGGCTAGACTTGCACTTATGATAAATGTTTTTGAAATATTTATCAAAAACATACGAAAAATATATTCTTTATCTGAAAATTGTACTATAGACAAAAAATTAGAAAAAAGTCTTTCGAGAAAAGTGTCAATTCAGACAATATATAAAAAGTAAGCTCCCAAGATATGGAATAAACACTTTTGCTTTGTGCGATTCTCATATATTTTACGCATACAACCTAGAAATTTATGTAGGTCAGCAGCCTGTTGGACTATATAGACAATCAGATGTGGCATCGAATGTTGTACAAAGACTTATTGCACCCATAAGTGGCACTGAAAGAAATACAGGATGATTATAATTAAAGTTTAAGTTTCAAAACACTATAAAAAAAGAAGCACTCATGAAAATGACGTCAAATTTGAAAAGAATGTTATTGAAGAAGGCGGAAAGCGTATGGCAGAAGAAAAAATTTAGTTTCAAAAGTTAGCAACAGATGGCGCTGCAAGCGGAAGAAGACGTAAATTAAAATGTTAGTTAAATTTCAGTGTTATAAAGCCGCCAGGTACCAGGCTGTTCCTCATTTCGCGTCTCAGACGTTCGCCATGGGTGTTTCACTGCAGGACCGCGCTCTGCTGGTAAAGCTGTATTACAAGAATGATGATTGTGCAAGAGTAGCTCTGCAAAAATTCAGGACACTGAAGGGTATAAAAGAAGGCGTTGGTCCAATGAGTGTCGTAGGTCTAAAGAAAATGATGCAAAAATTCGAAACGACAGGTTCGTTTGATGTGCAATCTGGTAGAGGGAGAAAAAAACGAGTGCATTCGACGGTAGTTGAAGAAGTGGCCACAGCATTACAGGAGGGGTCGGCCGGTGGTGTGCAACCGTGCAGCAGTGCACGAGGAATTGCCCGAACATTGGACAGGCCTACGAGCACGGTGCTGAAAATTGTACGTAACATCTTGCAATGTTATCCGTACAAAATTGGGGGTTGCAGGAGTTGCTTCTGTCTGACCTGACAGCTAGGGGAGACGTTTGCGTTAGAATTCCTGGCTCGCATGGAAGTGGATAACGAATGGCCGTGGAAAATTTTGTGGACAGATGAAGCCCATTTCCATCTGACAGGATACGTGAATACCCAGAATTGTCGAATATGGGCAACAGAAAATCCACTGGCAACGCACCCCGTACCACTTCATCCTGAAAAGGTCACGGTATGGTGTGGCTTACGGCATCATTCATCCTACAACCATATTTTTTCGAGCAGACGGGTGCTTCCGGTCCTTTACCGCAACGGTCACTGGTCAGAGAGAGGTATGCGTCTCTTTTGTGCAACCACGTGATTCCAGCTCTACAACAGCGTGGATGTGTGGATGAAATCATTTTTATGCAAGATGCCGCTCCTCCGCACATTGCACATCCCGTGAAGCAGCTGCTGAGGCGCCATTTCGGAAATGCTCGAATTATCAGCAGTCATTTCCCTACAGCCTGGCCGTCCCGATCACCTGATTTCTAGTTGTGTTCCGTGCTCCAATTGCAAATTTAGCGGAATTAAAGGCACGCATTTCGCAACACATTCTGAACATCACCCCGGAGACACTGCAATCCATTGTGGAACATGCTGTTTGTCGCTTTCAACTTGTTGCACACAACGGTGGACACCATATTGAACATGTTTTGCGCCAGTCTTGCGACAGTTCCGAACTTCTTTGATGAATGGTTCTTATGCGGTATGTCGCCACAAAACTCTTGAAACTGATTTTTTCCCTTTCGATGTGATATGTACAGTCATGCAAATAAAATTATTCAACAATTCTAATTTGTCAATGCGTTTTAATGTGTAACTTCCACCTTAGCCATCATTTCTCGTCGTGATTCTGCCGCTTACAGCGCCATCTGTTGCTAATTTTTTTCTTCTGCCATACGCTTTCCGCCTTCTTCAATAACATTCCTTTCAAATTTCACATCATTTTCATCAGTGGTTCTTTTTTTATAGCGTTTTGAAACTTAAACTTTAATTATAATCACCCTGTATAACTATGGACAATTGGTAAATGAGCATTCCTTTGGCCAATGAATTACTGAAAAAGCTCAAATTGACATGTTTTTGGGACACTTCGAAAAGATAAGAGTGTAATTCCAGAAGAATTTTTGCCAAATAAAACAGGCTTCTGTACTTTTCGTGTTTTCGGTTTAGAGGTAAAGAATTAACTCTTATTTCATATGTTCCAAAAAAGAGTAAATCGGTTCTTGTTCTATCATCCATGCATCATGATAATCAAATCGATCCATTGTTCTCGGACTAATGAGCATTTCAGGTATAAATGCTTTTATTATTCATCGATCAAATAATGACCAAGTGAATATGAACTGAAGAGCTTTTCTCAAAGATTTAGCATTAGAGTTTGTAAAAGAACATGTCCTAAAAAGGGCTGTAATTCTATCTCTCTCGAATAACTCAAAACTGTGTTAAAAACTAAAAAGGTTGGCAGAAATAGAAGATGCAGCAGACCATCTTCCTAAGAAATTGTTTGTAAAAATATGTTGTGTGAGGATTGTTCAAAAAGAGATTATTTGAATAATAAACTCGGGTAGGAGGGGGGGGGGGGGCAGAAAACCTATGTGCTATTTATATTTTGTAATATTCGTATTTAGAATCTATTCTTTGATATGAATAATTGCATGATATTATATTGAATTTTAAGAAAAAACTAGTAAGAATGTAGCCTTTTCATATTCCTCTAGTGCTTTATCAAACCACTCTTTATAATAAACATATATGTCTCAAAAATGTATATAAAATATAAAAACATATATGTTTATTATAAACCAATGTATATAATGTATATAAAAACATATGTTTATTATAAACCACTCTTTATAATAAACATATATGTTTTTATATATAGGCAATTTTAATTTTAAATTTTTTATGTATAGGCATTTGATATATTGACATTTATAATCCATGTTTCTTGTAACTTCCTGTAATATATATATATATATATATTTTTTCCGTCCATCTTTTTTTCATGCGAGTTAACTTTTCACATTACACAACGGTCAGATTAATTAATTTTTTTTCGTGCAATAGCAAGTCTTCCAGCACTAAAATTTGGCAGTTTTATCGCGCTTATACAGTTTTTCCAGTTTTACCAGGCAAATTTCTTATTATTTTATGTAGTACTATGTTACAACATTTCGTGGAGCTACAGCTCCTGGTAACTTTTTAGCAAGGTTGCTGCAATGTTCCTACCTGCTACTATATGTTTAAAAAATATGTACGTATGAAAACTGATTTTTCTAATATAAGAAATCATATATGCATCTTATATATAAGTTAGTAATTTTGCATTAATTTCGATTTTTATGGCTTACTTTAAGTAACCAGTATGGAAATGTTTGTATAACTTAAAGTAAGATAATCTTGAATTAAAACTAGAAAAAAGGTTTAACAGAATTCACAAAGCTATTAGTCATTTATACATTCATTTAAAACAAAGAAAATGCATTTATTTATATGTTGGGGAGGGGGGTAAACTCCAAAAAACACTGTAAAATTTGTCCTGCGTGTGTACTAATGTAGCACAGTGATGCACGTGTGCTGAAGGGTTAATAGTTCACAGAAGTAGGAAGAACTTTTAAAAGAAATATTAAACAAGTGAAAAATTTGTTAATACTGCAAAATGAGTTTTTAACAGTAATCATCTATAACACACATAACCTTTAACCATCACCCTTTTGATGTTTTAAAATAAAACTATGGAATTTAAAATTAAAATGAATTGAAAAACAAATATATTTAATATAGTTATTTAATATAACATACTAGTACTGCTTAGTGAAAGAACTTTTAAAATAGCCTATTTATTTTTGAAGGGCAATTACATTTGTAAAGAGAGAGGTAATAGAACAGTTACATTTCTAAAGTAAAGAGCTCGTTATCAGGAGGAGATTTGAGTTATCAGTTCATTAAACTGTGTTAGATTATAAGGTGGATAAAATACCTCCTACACAATAAATGAAGATTACATTCATTTGCTTTCTTTTTAATATTGTGAATTTTTGTTTATTGTATACTACTTAAAAGATGGAATTTAATTATTTGAGAGCACGCAGCTGTACATTTTAACTGACATTTCAGATTTATATTTTCCCCGACATTCCCAGATTTATGTATACTTTCCTTATCTTTCCAGGTGAGTTGAAACTTACCTTTTAGTTATATTAAATATGCAGTTACCTTTTTTGAGATATAAAAGAGCAGGAAATCAAACTTAAGGAGAACTCTGTTAAAAAGACTCACATTTTATGCTTCATAAACACTTACAACATGCAAAGATATTAAAACAATATCAATATGCACAAAAGTAGCCTTAGTGATTCAAGAAAATTCCTTTTGATTCTAACTGAAGGTATTAATTTATTTAAGCATTAAATTCTTCTACTTGAAAATGCATAGAAGAGTATTTCTAATATTTCAGAAAATCACAATAACACATGAAATTCTCTAAATAAACTCCAAAATTTTTTATTTGGTAAATCTTTAGTAATCCAGGAGGTATCTGAAACTGAAATTATATAATGCTACTTATAGAATCAGAAGTCACTGCTTACGGTTTTTGGTAATTTAGATGGTGGTAACAATATAACTAACTATAATTTATTTAAGTGAAATTTATGATTTGCTTGGCAAATTTGGATGATGTATATAATAAGAACTTTTCCAAAATAATCAGTTGTCAATTGAAGATTTAAAGTGTTTGCAAGTGCAGGATGTTAAGTAGAGGCTTCACACCTTTAGGCAGGATCAGGAAATTTAGAGACTGTCAGAATTCTCCTTCACAATTATGCATTGAGAAATATTTTACTGAAATAGCTCCAGTTTGTCAGATGCTGAACCTGTCTCTATATATCAAACTCTTTTGCTGTTTAATTGAAGAAATGTAAACAGAATGACTAACTATATAGACAGTAAAATTATTAGATGCAAAGGAAATGTTTACAAAATAATTAGACCTGCTTATTAAATATAAAAAAATTAATATGCTGACAAAACAGTACAATGTCAAAAACATAAATAAATAAATAAATAAAATAATAAAAAATCCCCTCCCTTATAAAGCCTTGAAATGGAAAATATAATACTCAACACATGGAAGCAGGTGTGCCATTAATGCCACTCTTTTTCTGAATACCCAAGATTCCTGCATGTCACTTTCAAACACTTGCTGGTGAGGGTGTTTTATTGTGACCAATCAGTGCAGGTGCTAGGCTTTTTGCTGCCCAGTGCAATCACTTCAATTCCTAGCATATGCCACCAATAACTTCCTAAATTTTACAAATTTTGCCACCCTTAAATTCTGTTGTCCGGTGTGGCTGCACCTGTTGCACATGCTCTGGACCCTGTGACCAATGACAATACACTGACTGATGTTGGACATGAGTGGCTGAAGGCTCTTGAGTGGTTAAGGCACCAAATTTTTGGCTTTTGAGTGGTTGGGGGGGTTAGCATTTTTTTAATCCACCCAAAACAGTAAGGGAAGCCCCAATGTTGCCATGTCTACATATCATCTTATTAGATTTAAATTAATGATCTAAAATCTAGAAATTTTCAAAATCTGGAATCATGGAAGTCCCAATGATTACGATGACTTTGTACTGCATTTAATATGAAACCATTTCCTTTCCTCAGAATTTTAATATATTTATTTACTGAGCATTTGCTTCATTATGCATTTTACTGAGAATTTGATACTTTTAGGCATCTATTTAGTAACAGATTAGCAATTTTTTAATACCCTTGTAATAGTGACATATTTGAATAATGCTTGATAGGGTTCCCTTTGTTGGTTATTCTTTTTGCTCCAGTTTTTATTTCATTTTAGATCAAAAACTTATAGCTGGATTTACACCTTGATTAGTTCTTGGTCAAAGCAATATTTCTGCATTACAATTTTAGCAATAAAATTATGAAATATTTTTTTACTTTGTGGCATTGTGGAACATTATGCAAGAAAATAATTTTTTTAACAATACAAATCATGAAGTTAAGGCTAACGTAATATTTTTAAAACATTAATATGTTGCTCTTATTTCATAGGTTCTTCTACAACACATAGTGTAAGATGGTTTCCCAAAGCTTTACTGTTTATCAGACTCCAGACCATTACTGATGTCAGATACTTTGCAATCCACACAAAGCACTGTACTTTAAAGGTTTCCAGTTATTTATGAACATCCATCGTGTTTTTTTCACTGAGATGCAATGTTTTATTAACTGAGACTATTAAGTCATCGCTAAATCACACCTAAAGACAACTAGCACATATTTCCATATATGACCTGGAAAGCTTTGCTATTGAAGTATGCAGGTTGACTTACATTACAAGATCAACATTTGGTCATAAAATGATATTACAGATTATATAATCAATTTTTTAAAAATTTAATCCCAATACACATTACTCAAATTTATAAATACTAGTATCTGAGTTAAAAAATTTCTTTCTGATAGAGAGAAGTGAATGTTATCATTCTCCATGTCACCATTAATACTGCTAATATCTACCTTACAGATATCATTCAAAAACACCAAAAACTTAAATTTAGCAAAATTCACCATATTTTTCCACATGAGTATTTTTTACTACATAGCAGTAATGAAGAACTGCAAAAGTGAAAGCAGGGGGGGGTAAAAATCTTGTACTTGCTTGAGAACAGTTTCTACAATTGAGAATCAAAGAAAAACTGACTACTACACGCTATTGCCAAAGTTCCAAATAATAGGCATGCTCTATATCTGGGAGAATTAAGAAAGAGAATTTACTGATGATAAACTTTTCTTTTCATTCTGCAATGCTCTCATCTATTTTTTAAATGAAAGCTGAAGGTGAAGTGGTACTCAACTTCAGCTTACCTGATAGGTCTAGTAAAGTTACACAACCAATTATTCATACTTTAGGAAATATACATAGCAGGATTTATACGAATCTACTTATACACAGGTTTTTAATTTTGGCCATATTTTTATAGTAAATTCTTACTCCCAGCTTACACAAGAATTAGGTTATATTCAGAAATACACATGATTACATTTCTTTGATTTTTCTTAAGAAAATGTATGTGCACATATCCAAGTAACATTTTAAGTAAAACTAGAAATAAAAGCAGCAAATCAAAACTGAATAACAATCATTCCAGCGTAAAATGAAGAAAAATACAAATTTAAACAATTTTATATAGCTAAAATTATATTTCACAAAAAGTCTGCTGCCCAGAGTATTGATTCATAATTTTTTTAATATAAAATAGAACAATAGAAAAACTATGACTTTTGAAAGAATATTTTGAAATATATGCAATGATTGTTAAGGAATGCAGCAAGAAAATATGTATTTTCAAATAACTATTGATTTAGACTTCATAGCAACAATGCTAATTAAAAAAATAGTTCTTATCATAACTGCTACTTTGTGAGTCTAATAATTTAACCAGATCTGATAGATTGTGTGAAAAATAATTGTTTCTATACTGCTGGTAACAGAATATGCAGTGTGTAAGAACAAGCATAGAATTTGATTCAGAGACAACTAGCAACAACATCAGTCTTCAATCAGAAACTATTGAGATCTGGAAGTATTCTAGAACTAGAACTTTCATAAGAAAGAATGCCTATAAATCTATATATAGACCATAATATGATTAAAAATTTAAGCCAACAGTAAAGCAAATGTTTGTTAGCACTTTTTTTTGGGGGGGGGAGAGGGAGAGTCCATCAATCAGAAATCTGCTGAATAAGCAATAATTACAAATTAGTTCAACTGAGTTCACCCAAATTTAAATACATAATTTATTGTGATAAATAAATACACAAAATACATATAAACTAGATTTATGATCATGCACAGAAAAGTAATTGTTAATACAAATCCCCATATACAAGTTTTGTAAGTGTTCAAATTGCAACAAAAATACCAACTTGTGACAGGTTTTGTGATTGTCTTCTGGATTGGTATAGGTTCTGATGGTTTAGAGCGACCAGGTGTCAGTTTCTTCTCTTCTTTCACCTCACTTTCTTCCAGAATAGTTGGAGAATCCTGTTTCAAAGCAAGAAGGGAAATCTAATATACCACCATTTTAATTTTTTAAAAATATGACTATTTAATTAAAAAGAACGCAAAGATGACCTAAGGTTTTTCAGAAGTTTTTAAAGGTAATACCTACAGTCATAACACAAAACAACAACCAAATTTTATGTTGAAAATATATACGATAATGCTGAACAAATGGAAAAGAAGTAATAAATATCAGAAGAACAGAACTGTTTTTCTATAATTCAAGTTCGCCACTATCAAGAAATATAACTGTCTGAAAAAACTAATAAATTCTTTTTTCAGTTACAAAAGAAAGAGGGGAGGTTTTCCTTTTTTATATTTATAATCTGTAAAAATTCTTCTAAACTCATACGCAATTTTCAGCAATATAATTAAGTAGCATTCAAGAGAAGCAAAAAATATGAAGTTTTTGAAAATAAAAATTTTGTCAGCATGTTGGTAAATCATTACATAAAACTTATGCCATAAGCAAAAAAATCTGCTGTTAAACTTGTCATAAATAAAAGACTATGCAATTTACATTAATAAAATGAATTTTGAAGATTAATTAACATTAATAAAATGAATTTTGAGAATTTTTTCATGCAATAAATTACACATAGAAAAATTAAAAAATAAAAAGATATTAAATTTTTTTTTTCAATTTTGCACACCAATTCAACAAAAGATTAAAATAAGATAATTATTCTGCTCATTACACCATAATCATTCTATCACTTATAAATAACTTATCACAAATTATGAATTAAAAGAATTAAAAAATGCTTTTATTTGTTCATTTATTATTTATTAAAAATTTAACATAATATAATGGATTTTGTATACAACTCCTCTTTTTAAACTGTTTAAAATTTTTTACATAAAATAAATCTTTTAATGTTTTTAAACTTCCTCAGAAGTATGCACATATATAGAAGTATTTTATAAAGAAGTTATTACATTAAATATATCTTAATTCTTTAAATTCTAGAAGTACAAAATGGAAAATTTAGAAATAAAAAGTTTGCTTTTACTGTGGCTTGAAACGTGCAATTATCAAATATTGTAAAGGAAATAAAAGTATTAAAATTTTTTTTGTAATCATTATTAAAACTTCATTGATTTGAAAACACTCATGAAACATATATGCAAATATACATTAATATATTATCATAGTGTATGTATTATGCATTGCAGGAAAAATATCTGAAATAAATATATTTCAGTCAAACCTACATATATAGATATGAAACTCCACACATAGATACTGCCATATATTCATTTGTCCCTCTATTTCACAGAAAAACATAGATATAATATTCTAAAATGCATTAGTGCATTTTTAATTGGAGGACTCAAATTATATTAGCTAATCGAGAAGAAAATTACATACAGAATTTAGAGATGCTTCGTTCAAGTCTTTTTTATGGAATAGCATTTTAAAACTTCATAAATAACTTTGAGAATAACCATAATACAAAGAAGAGAGAGAAAAACTCAACAATTGTAGAAAAAAATCATCTAAATTAGAAGCCATGACAGCCTTACTTCTTAAATGACTCTCAGAAATTTATAAAAAATGAGCAAATACTTATAACAGAATTACTGGAAAATTAATAATCTGCAAAATTATAACATTCTTCTTTGGCGCAAATTTATTAACCAAATTCCAATATTTGCCTCAAATTTTCTGGAATAAATGTAAACATGTAAAAAATAATTTTAACTTAATTAAACATACTTAAGTTTTCCTTAATTAGACAATTATATATATTTATAATTAGACATGCAAATGAAACAAAACACATACATGCACTCCAAAATCACATAAGGTATAATATTTGGCCACTGTCGGACTCAGACTACATATATTGCATTGTTATTTGCCTTAGTAAATATGAATGCTCTAAAAATCTATTCCATAACAGTGTAACCACCTAAGAATGTTCAACAAAATTGTATCACTACTGTCAGGGATGCAAGCTGCTTGTACAATTGCCCAACAAGAGGTTCAAAGCAATGACATAATCAGATGTCTTTAGTGGAGTTTATAAATGGGTACCCATAATGGTCATAAGGGCAGTGATAGATGATGACAGCAGTAATAAAATGACAACTTTTCAGAAAGATCATGTGATAATGAGAGGTACTTTCCATACATCAACAGTTTCTCTGTCCGCAATTCAGAACCATTTACTCATACCTCTTGGACAGGTAGAGTTCTGAAATATAGCTGGAAGAAAAACGTACAGACTGGATTTTTTGGCATTGATAACAATACTAATATCACAAAAGTAATCCTCATAGCACCTCAACGATAACACAACGAGACTTGTATTCCTACAGTGTTATGTCTGTTGGGGGCCATCTTTCACCAAGATAATGCCTTATAGTGAAAGTCTTTTTGGAATGTCCATCCAGTATACATCTTTTCTCAGCTTGTCATATAACCATAACTTTTCAATATCAAACATGTATAGATCATGTTTGATGGTGCCAGCAGACAATTACAACACAAAACAATTACAGTGATCTCATAACTTACATAATCACACTGAGCTATTACAAGATACTTAACAGCAAATTTGGGAGATATCATTGAATGGTTTACGAGTCCACATTCAACTGAATATCTACATGCACTGCTACAGAGGCAACTATATATTACTAATAGGAGATATTTCTAGTCCAATGTTTGCTTAATAAATGAACTGACTGTTATTCAATACTAATCACTTTTTTTTTACCTTTGTCTTCTAATTGCTCATGCCAAATTTCACAATGATCAATTAACTTTTACTCGGTGTGCCAAATTTCCCCCCCTTTTTTTGATACAGTATATTATAGACTTTTTTTCTATGTTCTAATTTTTTTTAGTGCTTCAACCACTTACATTTATATAACATTAGAAAGAGAAATTATTATCTGGTAATGTTGTTTAAGCACATAATTTTAATCCCAATGAAATTACTGCTACTGATATACACTCTATGAATAAAAAGTAAAATATAAGTGTGACACCACAGAATTTTTTAAATCAATTTCTATCTTATTCCCTTGACTTCTTTATTTTATAATACAAATTTTCTTTTGAGCATAATAAGATTTATAAAAATACGTATTTAATAGTGTGAACAATGGGTATGAAAAATATCACATGTACATGAAATGATTTTTTTCAAATTCTTTCTCATTCACCAAAGCATAAAAACAAAATAATAAATCATAACCATTACATTAAGAAGTTCCACATATCAATCTAAGTCATTCTAAGTAAGAAGTTAAGAAGACTAAGTCAGAAGTTCCACATATCAATCTGTGACAAAAGCTTCAGAAGGAAAGAAGAAATTACAAAGTCTTAGAATGAATGTTAAACAGCAGTGTGCATTTACAATGTATTTTGCTTTACCTCTTTATACTAAATGCAGTGGAAGGCATATGCATACAATCAAGAATGGTGCCACCAAACAAAATCGTTTATAAGGGAAAACACATTAAATTAATTGCTTAGCATTAGACAAAACCCACATATTTGGCTAATTAACATGCATACATATTAAAAAATCAGTAATACAGAGCAGTAATTAATATCTGTCAACTCAAATCTAAAAAGGAGATGGTTGTGTGCTTTGGGCTTACCTCATTTAAGAGAATATTTACATGCATATCTTTTGTAATTCTACTTAAATAGCACTTGCATGTCAAATTTAAAAGAACTTACACAGAAAATTTAAATGCACTCCTAGCCATTAAAATTGCTATACCATGAAGGAAAAGCACAACAAATCTGAAATTTTCATTAAAGGTGGAATATGCTTCTCCATGGTTGCCAACAAAGCTAGGCAATTTCTGCTTCAGCTTCTCTTGAGGCTACACAAGAATTAGTGCCTATAATAGTGTGTTTAGCAAAGCATGGATGCATTAATGGCACAAAATTGTTTTTCTGACAAACCCCACTTTTGCTTACATTATCATGAAGCCCATATAGATGACAGGAAACAACATGGAGAATGAATACTGCATTCTTTATTATCACACACATTCAGCACCTGGATATATGGTATGGAATGCGACTAGATAAACAAGCTATTTATCTCTAGTTCACACAGCTGGTACTTTGATTAACCACAGTAACACTGCTCAATGCCCATGGCTGACCATATCTTTGAGACCTCTACCACCCACCTTTAAACAGGAAAATGCCAGAATGAATGTTGCCCCAAGCTGTCCTGTGTTCCCTCAAATAAATGTTCTCCAAGCTCTCCTGTGTTTCCTCAAATAAATGTTGCCCAAGCTATCGCATGTTTCCTCAATGTGCAAAATGGCCAATGCATTCCTCAGTTGGCACGTTTTCCACATCTCTCACCAACTAAAACGCAGTAACGACATGCCAGTGTTATCTAAGGAAATGACACACCAACATCTGCCAGCTAGTATGACAAATGAATTCTGGCATAGAACTGAAGCTGCAAGGACTGCAAAATCTTCAAATGTCATCCATTGTTTGGTTCCATGCCTAGTCATACCAAAGCTACTATAGTTGCCAAAGAGCCAAAAGGTACCTGTACTGGTTTCTGAATATTACTTCAAGATACTTAAAACTTTAATTACTTCATCTTTCCCTTATAATGCACTTCATCAGCTCATGTGATTTCATCTTTTTATTATAACATAAAATAAATATGATTTTGCTCATTTCTTTCCTTTATTACATAGCAATTTTAATTCTCATCAGGGTACATATTAATTTTTGTATCATGCAAAGAAATTCAGATAAAACTAAAGTAATAAAACTTTTTAAAAATAAATTATGGGTAGTACAGGCAACCCACATTCTTAAAATTTAATATACACACACTATTTCTTTCTGATCAATATGCAAAGATTCTGATACAACCTGTAATAAAGTACAGGTACACAAAAGAAAGACCATTAAAACTCCATGTACAATTGCACCCATACAGTAACCAGACCATTTTCTTATAAATAAGAAAAATATTGCT